CCCTCAGCCAGGGTCAACCCACCACACTAGAACTTCACATCCATACAATAGGCTGGTCTGGCAGTTTCTGTGGGATTGCCTTAAACAATCCATAAACCCCAGGTGAAAGATGGATTCCTCCATATAGCTGGGGAGGGTATTCCTCCTAGCAGTTCATGTAAATTGTTTCTATCTAAAAGTGTGCTAACTCAGGTTGTAATTTTCCATGTTAGGATTGCTGGAGGCTGTACTTTCACTCATCCAACTAGAAGGACTCAAAGCATGTATGTTTACCCTAGAGCACAGTCACCTGTACACATAGATGTAAGTTCAGGTGATGCTACTCGGTGATTGCCACCTGCCAAATGCTATGTAATTTTTAAGTATCCAGGGTTCAGCATCTGTGCCTGGATAGGAAGCCTGGCTGGCAGCCAGGCAGCCCTTCGTTATCTGCTGGGAGATGCTGGAGGGGGTCAGGAGCACACCAGGAGTACATAAAGTAGCTGAAATACGGGCAAAAGTTTAGATTTAAGTTCTGGCATCAGGATCTTTGATGTTACATATGCTTGTAACATAACATGCATTAGTGAAAGGTGCCAGATGGAATGTAACTTATTTGGGAGAAACCTCAGGCTTTCTGAATCCTCAGTTTTTGTTCGTGTGACTCGCTTTGCTTTATTGGGAAGAGGACTTGTTAGATGTTTGATGTTTGTGTGGCTATAATTTGAAATTATTATTTCCATGTTATAAACCCATTAGGGATCCATTTTGATCCTCCATACAGCAGGAGACTGACAGGACTGGATGCTTTCCAGTGAGTTTTGAAGAAGAGAGTTAAACAGTAGTCTGCAGTTTTCAATTTTCATAAAGTGGAAGACACCCTGGTTTTCTTTTTGCCATGTTGTTGTGCAGTTTGTTTTGCAGCAGGTCTTGAAGGATAAAGGAGCACTAGCTAGGGACTTCTCAGCAACGTAACTTGAAATTGAATTTTGCTGTCTCAGGACTGAGAAGAAACTATTTTGTTTGTCCTTCATACTAAGATGGCACAGTTCAATTGGGAGGTGGCAGAATAATTGGCTTTTTTTGGGGACCGAAGACGAATTGAGCTTCTGGAAGCAAGTAGCAGCAGGGAGGAGCACAGGCCCCCCACTCTTGTGGCTAGGGAGCCCGTTCGTTCGTCCTGCACCAAGCTGCTTATTTCCCCTTTTTCATCTCTGGTGGAGGCAGGTGTGAGGGAGGGACTGGTATATAGTGAGAGCAAAGGGACGGACTATGTATGATGGAAATGGTGGCCACCAGAAAAAGCTGCTTTTACTGGCTGGTGTCAGGCCTCCTGCAATTCCTGTGGATGCTTTGGAGGCTCCAAAACCAGATGCCTTCATCTTCAAGGTGGCCTTGCTGTATCTGTGGGCAGCAGCCAGTTGCTATTAGACAGGTTTGTCTTCTTGACTCCATGAGTTGAATTTCTCATAGGAAAAGTCAGCATTGGTGTGTTATCCTTTTTAAACTGCGCTTTGAAGACTGAGAAATCGCCTGATATTTGGATATGGGCAGTAGGTGGGGCTTATTGCAAATCACCAGTTGTCAGAGCCACTGAGATTCCTGGGGACCATCCTTTTCCCAACGCAGGGCTTCAGATCTGTCTCTGATTCTGTGGTTTAGACACTGGAATAAGCAGGTTTTAGAGATTTTATGTGTCTTTTTAGAACCAAATGGTTTGATTGTGTTACGATTTATAAATTGTTACAGCTCTTCCAATTTCTGATAATTTTTTCCCCATACCATTTGATTGTCCTTTATCTTCTGGTGAGGGAACAGAATTTAATTTTTTAATGTCTTTTTAATGTTCTTTTGATGTATAATGCGTAGGGTCTCCCTCATAAATGACAGCCTGCATGGTGGTTTTGTTACTGATACTACGTTATCTGTAGTATTTGAAAAGTAATACTAACAATTTTATTTGCTTTTTTAAAGGAATTTTAAGAGCCTGCCAACCAAGTTTGTATTGTCAAACAAACTGCTGTTGTTTTGTGTGATTCAGTCTTACTGCCCTTCCCCTTAAAGACTGCCTGAGGTCTCTGCTTTACCCTTACAGTTTGTGTCATTGTCTAGGCATCTCGGAGATGTCCCTTGCTTAACCCAAAGTGTAAAATATTTCTTAACTATGTGAACCTTGAGTAAGAGAGCAAAAGGGTGAAATCAGCTGTCATAAAAATACAATCAGTACAAGGTATTCATCAGGTTGGATGCGATAGCAGTAGTGGCTAAGGAATGTAACCTGTGCAGAAGATGGCAAAAGGGCAGGTGAATCACATTTGTCTTCCCTGTCAGTTAACCTGAAAGTTGATAGCTGCTAGATTTAAAGAACTGTAAACAATACAAAAAGCTAAAACATTCATAGATCTAAAATAATTTAAAAACTGTTTACTGTTAGATGCATCTTTTAAAAGAAGAGGTTTATTTCAAAGCAATGCATCTGCAAGTTAGTAACACTGCGATGAATTTTACTTACTGTAAATAGCTCTTTATAGGCAAGCTACCTGTCATATTTTTAAATAGATTTTTTTCTTTGTTTTCTATTAATAAAAGAATTATAAAAATCAGTTTTTCTAATTATTTTTTTTTTTAAATCCTTTCTCCTGTAGAGCCTGGCCAAGTTAACAGATGGATTCAGGAATAGCTGTTGTATTAGAGATTCCCTGCAGGACCTCCAGCACAATTCTAGTTCACTCAGCGACTCCTGTTTACCTCAGCAACACTGCGATGCTTGTTCTCAGACTGACATCACTGGAGAGGTATGTGTTCCTCCACAAGATGTTTGCTGTAGAAAATAAGCTGCTTTTGTACTATAGTGATACATCTTTATTTCCTGTTTTAATTTAAGAGGTGTTGACTGTAGGAGAACGAAAAACCCAAAGCAACATTGGTGGCGAGGGAGTTGCATTTGCTTATTGTTTCCAGAGCGTGTGAGTGATGACTGAGTGGTGGGCTTTGCGGTTCTGCTACTTGAGTGTGGCACAGGGGCATAGTGACATGCTTGCAGGTCACTGACAGGTAAAATCAGCTCCTAGACTCAGCCAGCCTGGCAGAGCTCTTCTTGCGTCATCACTTTGGTGAGCACAGGTTCATCTCTGAGTAACAGCTCTTGCTAGATGTCCATGGACCTCTTCTCTTCATGTCACCACCTCTGACTTACTGAAACTTGTAATGACGCAGTAAGGAAGAAAACGCTTCAGCCAGCTTGAAGTTGTAGTAGAGACCTGATTGTGCAACAGTGTGAGATGTTAGTATTCTGGTAGCAGTGATAGATGTGTGTGTGTATGTGTGTGTGTGTGTATATATATATATTTTTTTTTAAAATCTTGTTTTTATCATGCTTGTTGTCATTGTTCGTATACACCAAAGATGCACGGTAGATCTCTGTTCCTTTCCTCTGAGACGAGGGAAGTATTTCTTAAGGTCTCAAAGTATTTTTCTTAAAAACTAACAAAACTTCTAATATAGTCTGTCATGGCTTTATGCTCAAATATGCCTTTAAATACGGTATTAGAGAAGAACATATTAGCATTCCTTGGAAGTAGTTCTGTGTGAATGAAATAATTATTTGTGTATTCCAAATAATAAAAATTTGGCTTGCACTAGTACTATGGCAGCCTAGCTGTTCTTGAGCAATAAAACATTTATTTCTGTGGATGAGGTTGACAGCAAATCAAGAAGACAACCTGTTTGTAGTTTGTTAGTACTATAGTTTGGATGTTACTCCACATTTGGTTAGAAATTTGTATTGAACTGTGTAATTTTTAACTGTAGACTTTTATCATCCCATTTCTCTTCTATTGTCTTCTTTCACTGCTGACTAGTTGTCAAGTTGGATGTCTCTAGAAGGCCTCTATAGAAGATGAAATCTGTGTTTTTAGGAAGATGTACTCTTAAAGCATCTAAGAAAACTTAGCTAACGCTGAGCTGTCTTTCAGTGTGTTAGGTGGATGGTGCCTTTGGGATGTCATTTTTCTGACTGGTGGTGGATGTGGTTATTCCAAAACAAATTGCCGAAAGGAACACAGCAGCATTTTCCCATTCACATACACGTTGAATGCCATCCAAGACAAGCCAAGTACAGTCTGAAAATTGTGTTTATCAGATTCAGATTTTTTGTTAGGGAAATAATAAATTACATAATTATGTTGTTTCCCTGAATTATTATTAGTGGAATGTGAGTAAAAAAGAGGTTGATTTCTTACATGTGTGATGATGGAGAGAGCAAAAGCAGCAGTTAGATGAGAAATCCAGAGGTGCAGCAATGCACTTAAATAGGGACTTGGGTTTTAACTATTAGACCATATGCAGACTTCTGACGAGGGGAACTGCTGATGCCCTAAGATGGAGAGAAGTTGCTATAGAAACTGGACTGTATACAGTAGGAGTTGTAGCATAAATATGCATTCTACAACTGGTTCAAAGATCAAGTGATGTTTTTGTGATAGCGTTTAAAATGCACTAATGATCTAAGTGCCAGGTAACACATCACTGTACAGGGAATGTAATCTGAATTACTTCTAATTAATCTATTAATAAAATACCTGTATCGAGTAGTAAAATATTTCAATTAAAAATATTCTTTGTGTTTTAGGCTTAGATAAAGTTGAAAAGCTTTGACTATTTATGAGTGATTCTATTTGCTAACTCTTGATTTCCAGGATCATAATTTATTGAAAGGGTTCATTTATCTTCTGTATTTTTAGCAAAAAAACTGGTTTTGTATTTCTAAAGCATAAAATTGATTTTTATTATGTTATTACTTAAAGCATTGAGATTTTTTAGTGAGTCCAGTAAGTGAGAATAATTTATCCTTTTCTTTATTGTGAGAGTTTTTAAAATCTCATTTCTCCCTCTCTTTTTCCCCCTTTCCTTGCTTTTCAACTCTGCAAAAGATTGGGTTTGATGACAAAACAAGACTCGTAGACAAAGTAAGACTGAACTGGCAATATGAAGAGGCCAAGAAAAGGTAATTCAAGATAAATTTGTTAATTTTTGTTTTTACTCTCATGATTAAAGTTTTCAAAGTAGAACTGGAACCAGCCTCCTAGCTGAAATGTCTTTAGGAAGACTAATTTGCTTACTGTTGAGTAGTTCACAGATAATAAAAGCTTAGGTAAACATAAGACTTTATCATAAGATTGTTATATTTGTTTGCAGAGATAAAGCTAAGTGTCAGCCCTGTTCTACACTTGCATAAACACAAAATTGCAGTAGTTTAATTGAATTGTTTTACATTTTTCCCCCTTCTCAAACCTCAGTATAAACAGTCTTTAAATTTACACTTACCAGCCTGGTCTGTCAGTACATTCGGAGCTTTGCATACCTGTGTTCTAAGTTAAGTGTACCAAAGTCTTGAACTCAGTGTAAAGAAAGAATACAGAACTTCCTATAAGATAAATGAAGATGTTCAGAGCTGAACAAAAGGGTACATAAAAATCAATGTTGAGGTTGAAAAAAAACCCAAAACAAATACTTGAAATAGATTAATTCTTCACTAAGCCCTTCAATCTAATTGCTTATCATAAGTATTTCTTTTGTGAAGGTCAGTCTTGCAGTGTTCTTTCATGGCTTTGTAAAAGTAATCTGTTCTTATTTAGTGCTCTTTTAAAAATACTATCTACTAGTATAGTTTAGCAATTCCTCATTTAACCTCATTGTTTTCAAACAATTTGCCACATATTCAGGACAATAGTGTAGGTATAGATGATGACTTCAACACAACAATTTTATGCACTTCTGATTATTTTTATTTGTGCTGATAGAAGATTCTCTTATTAAAATTGACTGTCTTAAAAGAGTCTGTATAGTTAACTTTGAAAACCTTAGTTTTTAAATTCTTTTAAGTTATACTTTTTTTTTCTTTTCAACTTTGTCTATTTTGCCAGTATTTTACACCTCTCGGAACAAAGGTTAAAAAAAAGTTCAATACTTTTGTCTCTTTTTTTTTTTTTTCATATTATGGCGACTTTGTCTTTGGGGGAAACTGTAATAGTGTCATATGTCTTGGCGGGGATGGGAAGCTTTTTAGACAATTCCTTATTTTGTTGTTCTTGGAAAATTTACCCACATTTGGACACAGTACAGGCCTCAAAAAAAAAAAGAAATTGGTGCATGCAGGTTCAAGATACACAGCTAAATCTTCAGGATTTGTAACTGGAATGAAAGTCTGCATTGTAAAATACTGCATGTATTAGGCAAAAGGGTCAAAACAAAAACCCATCCTGTTTGGTCACAGGCTTAACCCTTTAACACTTAACAGTCCGGTGATAATTTAGGGGTTCATGACAGTTGCTGAAAGAAGGATATAATTTAGTTTTATATTGTTTAGTTTAGCAGAGCCACTGGTGCTGTGAAGATTGTATTAAATGTTTTTAGTTCTGTTTTCTGACATACCTTTTTACATGTTTTTCAAAACAATTATCTTCTTGTGTGCGATTGCATAGAAGAGGTAGAGTGGTGGAGGTTTGTGTTGGGTTTTGGTTTTTTTTAGTAGCAGAAGCATTTCTCAGCTGGAAATGCTGAACGTTTGTTTATGGATGTAATGCAGTATTTCTGAATATCAGAAGTGAGCTGGGCTTTGATGTTAATCAAGTGTGGAAAATCCAGGTAACTAACCTTCTACCTAGAGAACAGTAATTGCAATCAGGGTAGTTTTGCTGTCCTGGGATAGCAGCTCTGACAATGGTCCGTTATTTAGCAAAAGCATGTTAGTTGCTTTAAAATAGTAGCCTTATTCTGCCCAGTGTGTTGTACGGAAGTAATCAGCTTTCAGCTTTTGAGTGGAACTGCACAAAGCTCATTGCCCCTACCAGTTATCTCTGTGGTTGCATTCTTCATTTATCATGCATTCCTTCCCCTTAGCTTGCTGGCATTTCTGTAGGGCTTTTGTCTCTACTAAATATCTTTGTGTTCGTTCTCCCTTGGCTGGTGAAATATCTACTGTTACTGCACAGTGTGGGTGACGGAATGTGCTGCGATGGATTAAAATCTACAAAGTAGAAAGTTAAAATGCTACAGTATGTCACAACTGTAAGGCAGTATCTTATAACTATTTGCTTGTCAAACGGTGTGGAAACATATAGCAAATAACTGCAACAGACAAACTTCTGAGTTTCAATGGAAGACTTTTAAAATACACTGTAGGAGAAAACTGTGTCTTTTCCCTTAAAGCAGGAAAAAAGCCTCACAAAGTGAAGGGTAGTCTGTTGCATTTTAGTCACTCTTGTGAATCTAGCCAGAAGATCATACAGCTCTAGATATGAGCAGAATATTTGCCATGTGTAGTAAAGAAGTTTTTAAAAATAAAAACATGTTCTCTGTATATGGTATCTTAGCAAGGAAATGCAGTGTTGGGATTTCTGAATGAAATATCTTGAGGAATTCAGGAGATGAGTGGAAAAGTTGGCTTATACTCCCAGAATATCTCTCCTCTCTCATAAAAGATAATTTGATTTTAATTCCTCCTTCAAAAATATCTCTACTGAGTGGTTTGGCCTTTGCATAAATTAAGACATTCACATAGCTTTCCACTCCTCCTTCCCCCTCCGGTTTCCCACTGGAAGGAAGTTGGATAATTTGCAATTTAATTTTTCCCATGGGTGTTTCTGATGTTGTGAGCTGTGGGTTCTGACATCTTCAGTATGCTGGGGAAGAGGTCCTCTCTTCAGTGTCTGATCCAGGCTCTGGGAGGAAGCGTGTAAATTCTACCCTTTAACTCGCCAATCATGCTGAAGAGAGGCTCAGTCACTTTTCTTCTGCTCTTTACTGTTCCTCCCCATTATTTTTAAATAAACTGTACCTTATTTCCATGAAATTTCTTCTCTCAGATCTGTCAGTGTGGCCCTCCAAAAAAGCAGGAGGGAGGACGGTCTGTTTGAACAGATAGCCCCAAGCTGCCTGGATAAATACTGGCTTTAGTTTCAGTTACTATTTCAGTGAGACCACCTCTCATGAAAGCATTTGCACACTGGAAAGTGTTCCCCTCGAGCTCTTTTCTGAATAGACTGTTTCATAGAAAGAGAAATCAAAAGCAAATTGTTTTTCTTTGATAACTCTTAAGTTGTGCAGTTCAGTATAATACTACGTGAAGTATGTTAGCAAATGATCCTGTAATGTCATTGCTGCACTGCCTCGTATCCTGTGAAGTGTATTAATGGATAGATGAAAAATGATCCCTCCAATAAGAAGTGCCAAAATTTTTAACTGTCACTTTTTTTTATTTTTTATAATCCAGTCTGATAGTCGCTGACTTGAATGAACTAATACATCCAAGCATCTTCAACCTGCTTATCTAATTGGGATGTGAAAGCAGTAATTTGTTTATGCCTTCTGTAATTTTGAATTCAAAGTGTGTTATTTTTTAATTCAATTATTTAAATCATACAATGGCTGTCAACATATTTATTTTAGCCTTGAAAGACCCTTCTCCTCACCTATACTTAATATTTCCACATTCCCTTTAAGAATATTTTTTCCTTCTTTTCAGTATAGTTGCTGAAGTTACTTTGTTGCAAAGTTGTCTCATTACCAAAGTTAATTTTCAGTTGGGCTGTTAAAAGCACTAGCACAAGCAGAAGTGTGTCAGTGCAATTTGCGCTTGTACTGACAAAATACCTGTTGATTGGATATTGATGGCAACATTCCAGTACTGATACAATAACATAGTCTTTTCCTGTTAAAATTCATATTGTGTAGGCAGGTTTCAAGGTGTAATTGCCTAATTTCTAGCGAAATTCAGTGGATTTGTGTGCTTCATTCTGCTAAACTAATCTGAAAATTCCATTTAGGGATGAAGTAATTTGTCTGATATCACATAAATATCTGGCTCAGGCATGTCAGCTAAACGTAAATCTCCCAGTGTCAGTTTTTAAACATAAGACTTTTCTTTGGGTTATAAAAAGAGCAGAGCCATGCTTTTGAACTGCCTTTAAAGTTTTCATTATACCCGTTTACCTGTGAATTGGGTAAAATACTAATTCTTTTCCTCCATTGGTTTTAGCAGGCTTTACAATTTTCCTGAAGGTGAATACCTAACTGTATCTGCAAAATACCAGTGGACTCTAAAGGTTTCATGAGTGTCTTAAGCCAATTTAAGACCTCCTTGTTATTGAATGGGGCTGCCAGGAAGGCTGGGATATTCTACAGAGCGTACTCGCGTTGTCCGCCAAAGCCACAGTGGCACATACTTGTAAGAACAGCCAAAGTAGACACAGTGGAGAAATTTTGTGAGCATTTGGCTGAGTTCCCCAGCTTCTTGTTCTTTCCATTTCTTTCTTCCCCTTTCTCTAGCCTTCCTCTCTTTGGATATAAATCATAATCCACTCTCAAGAGGGTCTGCAAATTCTGGAAATTACTGAGTTCTTACACCCTTCGTTATGGGTCTTCAGCCCCACAGCCTCCTCTGGGTGTTGCATGTGGGAGAAGGTCCCTGTCACCTGAAGTGGCAGAGAACTGGGTCCAATTATAATCCTAAGGAAAAGAGTAAGCTGGGCTGGTTTATGTGGATCGTCTCCGCATATTTGCGTGATCTTAGCCACCCTTCTCCTCCAAATTATAACTGTAGATTTTTTATTTTATCCCCAGTGGTCTTCTGGTCTGATATGTCACCCAGAAGTCTAGGCATTGAAATATAGGGGGGTATTGGGTTTTTTCCTTGGAAAATTCAAATAAAGTAAGTTCAAAGAACGTGTTTAAGCTAGAAAGACCAGAGCTTATAGGTTAGGAAGTGCCAGCTGTAGGATACCCATAATTTGTCCCTTTTATGAGCATGAGTTAGGACCTTTCTCCTCCTTCAGTGTATTTCCCTCTTCGAGACACCTGTCTTGTTCATAATCTGAGTAATGGTCTAAACATGGAGTTAATTGTAATTGTAAATCAGACTTTTTCATCTCACAAAAAGTGATTTTTACTTTAATCTCACTTCTTGTGCTGTATTTTAATACATAACCTCTTCTAGACTGAAATGTTCTCAAGCTCAGCAGTATAATTTCGTTAGGTCTGGGTTCAGATAACAGTCTTGAAAATGGTGTTCTAGATGCTAACAAAATCTTTTAGGTTTGTGGATATTTCCAATGACAGAAGGGTTACTGTATTTTTGTCTGGGGGAGTATGTGTAGATACATAAGGATTCAGACGTGCTGTAAATTCTGAAAATACATGGGGTTTTTTCCACCCCATGATGTACTTTGTGTAGTAAACTATTGGCTGTACTGTTCTCCACTCTCATGCTATGTCTACATTGGTCTTGGGCTAGACATCATTCCAGCTACCTTAGTATGGCCATTGCAGGGCAGGTTTGCCATTTCAAATCAGTGTTTACTTAAGATCAGCAGGTTAAGCCTTTGTCATCCCATCTGTGCCCCTCCTGCTTTTCTGCTTAACAGGACCTGTTTTATTCATCTTCATTTGAAATTTTTAAATACTGAAATAAGCAGCAAGTTGGTCTGCCTACCTAGGAAACCAGTCATTTGATACCACCTACTGGAGCATGGAATGCAGGCTCCTCAGCACTTGTTATGCAAGGATGGGAATGGGCAAAATGCCTGGAATGTTGATGGCCCAAAATTAACTGTTTTTTCCCCAGGAATATGTTAAATTGCAGTAGGGACCTCAGTATCTGGCATTAGGCCATATACAAGTACTCTTTTACAGTCACTACACTTAAGAAGTAGTATCTTAAAAAATACCCAGTCAGAAGGAAAAACGTGTTTGGAAAACAGGCTTCATCAAGAATCCTAAATATTTTTTTCTCCCCTTAAATTGCAATCGATTTATTTAAGTGGGTGTTTAAGGTAGGTGAATATATGCACTGAGTCTGAAAAAAACAAAACAGCCACTTTTTTATAACATACTAGCAGTGAAATGGTTGGTGTACTATAGGTATAAAACCTGGCATGGACAAGCACAGTGAAATTACTTATTTATACATTTATTGTGCTTGGGAAGAAAAGCGTGTGTTGGGAGAAGAAAAATTGCAATTATGGAACATGCTTAAGAGGATTTTTTATTATGTTTTTAGCAGAACTGAACATGACTCCTCAGATATTTTTCTTAGGTTTGAGTGAGTGAGACCATAAAAGCCTTAGGGATGTTTTCTAGCCAAGGAGATTAGTTTTAAAAAGTTTATCACTGGTAGCCTTTTGGAACAACTTGTGATACAGAGAGAGTCCTCAGTGGAAAACAAGCAACAAAATTCCCCGAAAACTTTGGTTCATTTGCAGCAAATACAGGTTGGCTTACTGGTGCTGAAGTTCCCCTCCCCACAGATTATGTGATGTTTTGCAAGTGCTTTTTCTTTGCTTAAATGGAAGACGTAGAGAGCCAAGAAGAGCTAGCTGAGATGCTAAGAGTGTCAAGGGAATCAAAGGAAATACCCCATCAGATTTTGGAACTCTTCAGTGATACAAACCTTGTCCACAGCAGTACTTTTCCCTTTAGTAACAGTATAATTAAGTTACTATATAACAACTTCGTACTTTCAGAGCATCATCATAACAGAAATTGAGGGGAAAAAACAAACTTTAAACTGGAATGTCATACACAAAGGGAGTTACGTGCTCTCAGCAAGCTCAAGAGTCTAAATTAAAACCTCTTGTATTGAGGGTGATGTTTTCCTCTGCAGCTGAGCTGATTCAGTGTTTAACTGGTGCTGAAAGGGGGGATCCCACCTTCTCTTGCCTGCTGGTATTTCTCTCTTCCTTGTTGCCTGCATTAGCATTTCTGTACTTCTGTGGTCAGCTTCTTAACCAGCTCACCGTGCATTAGAAAAATAGCTAGCAAAATGATTCTGAGTGCTAAAATGAAGGGGTCAGTCAGTCCTTCAGTTTTCCAGAGCCTTCACCAGACACATCTCATCTTCTTTCGTCCATGGGCTGTGTAAGAGCTTACGAACACGGACACTCAAATACATTGCCAGGGCTCATCTGATTCACACTTACTTGCTAAGCCATGATAACCCAATTGTACCTGAACTCTGTAATTATGTTGAAAGGACCTTGAGTTCCAATTTTGTTTCATTTGGCACTGAACACTTGAAAAATCAAGCTGTATACGCTTTCAGGAGTGTTTACTGAATGTTTACCAGTGTAGCAGCCTGGGTAGGGGAGAAGAGGGATCCTGACTCTTCTTGCTCTTCCTGGCCCTGCTGTTTGGTTGATGGGGCGAGGTGTTCTTCAGGAAGCTGCATCTGGAACTCATGCACAATAGCTGAGGCATGAAATATGTAGACTGTACATATTGATTCACAATGGTGCTTTCAGTAGCTATTGGCAGGAAGTTGGTTATTAATGCAAGGTGGAGGAAATGGTATTGAAGGGCTTGATATTCTGCTTTAGACTAAAATGTAACATAATACTCAAGGTCTTTACTTGCTGTAA